ACACCTCGCTTGAGACTGAACCTTTTAATTATTGTTATGAAATTGTTTCTTTGTTCAGCTCGTACTAAACTGTTCTAATTATCTTAAACTGATTTTATATTATTTAATGTTTAAAAAATGCCAATTTTACTCGAAATCCATAAACGATATAAAAATTTAGTGAGCGGAAAAAAATCTTCTAAAATAGTGCTTATTTTTAAAAATATAAATTATGTCATCATTGGCGTACACACAAAAAAGTTACGGGATAACCAGTGGCGCACAGGCTATATACACTATAAAGAGAACATCCTGTATATGTATTTTCACCAAATTCTATATTTACATTGCCGTTATATAAAACAATATGTGTACCAAATTTGAAGTATCTGAGAAAAACAGTTTTCAAATTATTTGAAAAAAACTAGATTATCTGTTCTGTGTTTAGAAGGCTATATCTCAGTAGACGTGCATATTTGTATATAGGTAAGTTAAGCTAAATTGTCTTATTTCCATTCAAGGAACCTGTAGTCAAGCGTTGTCCATCCCTTTCAGGGACACCCTGTATATGGTAAAAGTTAAAAAAAACGGTATTTAGTTTTTAAGTCTTTTTGGACCTGCCGTATACAATATACCCTGAGAACTTTATTCCATTTAAATAAACAGACAGTTTCAGGAAAGGCAATGAATACTCCTGCTCCAGTTCGAAGACTATTCTTCGATATGGAATCTGGTTTTTTTTCAGATTTTAGAACTCAGTCCCGTGTTCCAGACCAAATTTCTGGCATGTTCACGAAAAATTCGAAACGTCTGCGACCTTAACGGTTTGAGATTCTACGGACAATTTTAGCCATTGGAAACGTGCGTGATAATTTCGAACAATTAATTTTGATTAAATTACTTAGCCCCATTTTTTGAACAGCTTTTCTCTTTTAAAAAATCTCGATAGAAGTACCACTAGTAAGTAGCACACTGTTCAAACTAAGCATTTGTTTTAACAATACGTTGTCTATTCGTATTTGATTATTTGAGAGAAATTTGTCTCTTCCAAAGCCGCCGCGACTCCGCGCAAGCTAGTTTCGAAGACGGCTCCGGCAAAGCTCTTGAAATTCCTCTCGCCGATGAATTTTTGCATGAATTATTTTTACAGGTAATTACGCGAGCCCACAAAGAGAGAGCTCCTTACCTTAAAAGCAGAATATAAAATTCAATAATAAATCCTTTGAAGTTACCTACATATGTATGCCCGGCGTTTTTACATAACAAGGTAGGAGTGAGCTGTATCCTCTGGCTGCATCCCTTAAATCTATAATTCTGTTTTTCTCTTGCGCCTTTGGGAGTTGAGAGGAAAGGTACGAGAGGAGCGCACCGAACATCAGGATGCGGAAGGCTGTAGATATTTCGATGCGGTTTAAGACGGCCTGCTAATAATTCACGGGGAGTCTCCCTGCGGGCTTGTACGTTTGGAAATAAGCTCCTTGGTGACCGGCCATAGGCACAAAGCAATGGTAGCACTTGAAGATCGCGTTCAGTGAATCGCACGATCGGAACTTGGATTCAGAAGAATTTTATTAATACTGGGGGAATACCTCGCTGTGTATACACCCGCAATATAGACCGGTCCGAAAGTTTCCTTATATAATTTACTACTCTAAAGGAAAACAAATTATTTTATGTCCCTTTGCAATATAGACTGGGTACGGTCCAGTTTTAAATATAGTAGTGCACTGGGAGGTTCTTTAATTTCACCCAATGGAACGTTGATTTTTTTTTAGTTTCGAAGTACAAAGTGTTTTGAGAGACAGTTGCTAAGTAGGTTTTATGCAAAAAACTTCATGGGGCCTAAAATGCTTACACGCAGAAAACAATTTCTTCTTCAAATGTAACATTTGATTTTAAGATATTGCACGCAGGAAAATATTTTCTTCTTTCAAGAAAGTTATTTATTTACTTAAATACTTTAAATTTCTACCCAGAAATATAATTTCTTACTTTAAAAATAGGCTGCATTTAAAATAAATTTGATACTTACGGTTAAACGAATTTTATTCTTAATTTTATGACTACATAGATTTTATAGAAACATGTTTTGTATTATACAGGGTGTAACGGATGCTGATGGCCAAACTTCAGGGGGTTATTATACAAGTAATTTTCAACAAAAAAGTATTATAAGATTTTTTGGAAAGTTGATAGTTGCTCTTTTATTTAACATTTTTTGATTTCAAAAAATTCTGCGCTTTTTTTCATAAAGATTCTTCTCCAAGTTTCGATACATGTAATCACGATAATCGGTAATACTCGGACTTGGTTCGGAATATTTACTGAACGCGTGGATTTCAGATTTGGCTCATAGATACAATATTTTGTATCGGGTCTCGGAATATTTATCATGTACTCATTCGACGAATATAGCATGGAAAAAGTAGTCGCGTAGTCGTCAACCTATGGAATCGTTACTTAAGATGAAATACCTTTTTGTTGACATTTAATTAAACAGCTATAAAATATATTTAATCAGTAATTAATCAATGTAATTATTTAATTCGTAGTTTGCTGCAGCATTGTAGATACCTATTGAAGAACGTAAATAATATATAAACATACAAAACTTAAATTATTTATATATTTAATAACATTTAAATAAATAATTATTTTCTAAATTTATTATTAAAAATAGAAATACCTAACGAAAAAATAAATATGCAAAATAACAAATAACGTAATTTATCAATTCAAAACTATTTACTGTTTTGTGCGAATGCCTACTACTACAAAGTTTTATGAATAAACAAAAAATCGTTGCAGTTAAGAAAAATGATTTTGTTTACATACTTGGATTTTAAAAATCTATTATTGCGTCTTTCTGTTATTATTTGACCTGCCTTAGAGAATATACGTTCACTTGGAACAGATGTAGCCACGATGGATAAAAGTTTATTTGCTAATATTGACAATGTAGGGTATTTCGAGCGTGTGGTTGACTTTTGCGGGAACTCGGGAAGTCGGAGTAGAAAAAAAGCCGCATATCGTGCCGGCCGGACTATACATGTAACCGTACTCAGTAACGAATACAAAGTAACGAGTACCCAAGATAAGTAACTGTATTTGACATCACTATTTCTCAGTAATAAAAAATATGTTTTTTCAAACTCACAAAACACCTAGTAGTCCTAGTACAACAGCTAGGATCGTTTGTAAGTTTAACCAACCAGACATAGGTCGCTTTGGGACTTATTGAAGGGCCTCATCAATATGTCTTTAGATCGATCCAGCTGCTTTATTGTCGTTACTCACAAGGAGATGTGTATACAGATACCGTAAGTGGCTCCATCTATCGTGCTACTTCCCACCTACGTCATTCTGTGACATGCTACAATTTTCTTTCAAGAAAACATCAGTTTGATTATAATATGCTACATTCGTCTTGAATATTTCCTGCATTAATACAAAATTTTAAATATACATAAATATTACATATGTATTAAGAAACTGGTAGTTTTGAATCAAATATGTTTTGCGGTTTATGATGAACTGTAAAAGATATTGTAGCAAAGTCCGAAATAATAAATTTCTAAACTATATTATATATTTACAAATAATATAAAAAAAGTATAGATTACAGCAAATATTTCACATAGTTTGACGAAAGTATAAAATAACATTTACGGCAAATAATTCCATTTAAAACTATCTGCTTATTTGATCCAAATACTTTTTTTTTCAGTGTAGTTTTCAATGGTGTTCAAAGTTGAACAACAGAGATGGTTTCTTTATAATATATTATAAACGTTTAAAGAATCTTGAATGAAATTTTGCACATGTACAAAATTTTGTATGCTTTACAATATAAAATTAGATTATTGAAGAAAAATCATCACAAATTTAATACAAACACTATGGTTTTGTGATGTATTGTTTCATAGGTAGCAAAAAACCCAATTACGTAGAAGAATAATAGGAAAAATCGCCATTAATCTAATAAAAGACAACTAATTTATAACTGTGTATTCTTAGACTACCTAAATATTTAAAGGATTCGGTATGGCATTGAAACGTCAAACTCATTGTTACTGTTATATTTCCTGTCAGGATTAGTTAATAAATTAGGCTTACAAGTATGCCGAGCATCACTGTTATTCATCGAATTTCCCATTGTCGGTGAGAAGTCTAGATTGGTTACTATTGATTGTGTGTATGCATACATACTAATAACATAGGAGTGGTAACCCAAGCATCTCTACTTTGAAATATGATTATCGTAGTTACATTTCCCTGACGCGTTCCATTGTTTATTGAGTCGGGTGGAATGCACCAAATGAGATTACTGCAAAAATGTTGGTTTTCCTTAACGTATGCTTACCATAAACTGACATAATAATGTACGGGGATATTCCGCAACATTCTACCCCAGTTATATCTGCAACGATTGTACTTAAAAAAAAAGGAAAATATGAACCAAAGATTTAGGAAATATTCTTTAAATTGACAGCAATACTCAATGTTGCTTTGGAAAATACAAAGGATATAGCTGATTAAGCATATGAAAACTGAACCAGCGTCTAATAAAGAGTTCTTACCTTGTATTTATTGCTTGATACTGAATTTCATTCTTAACAACAACACTCTGTATACATTTACGTATTTGAAATGCTTCCTTAAGCCCCATACAGACTTGGATATAATTGGTGGAAACATTGTCGGCCGACTGTATTTTTCTTGTGGCTCTTGAGTCGGCCGATTTTGCAGCAAATCAACAACATCGGGTGGCATTTTATCAAAGGACTCGTCAAGTTTACTTGTTTTAAGATTCACAAAGTTTTAAGATTTGCATCCGCCATCCCTCCTTAAGTATTTTACAGCAGTTTTACAAATTTAATAAGCTCAGGAGTAATTCAGCCAGTAGTTTAAAGAACTGACCCAATTTCCGGGTGCAGGAATCTAATAGAGCGGCCCATGCTTCAGGCGTAATTGCGGATATCATTAAGCCTTTTAATTGTTCTAATTTTCTTTCAGGTACAATGCTTCTGGTATGGATAGTGCTAATTGTCCAGATAGTTCGGTGTTACGGCCTGCAGTCGAACAATTGCGGCTTTAACTCAATGTGTACGTGCTCCCCGGACCAACATGACCTCAGTGCCAGAACTATTCACAGCGTCAGTTGCCTGTCGGTGCCGTTTTACAAGTTCCCAAGTAAGTAGAAATTGTATGTGTCACAGCTACCGTTACGGAAGCCGGGCTTTGTCAGATACACGCATTAGTTATTCGGTCGGAACTCGGCGGATGAGTTTAGCGCAATTTGAAAGGTCAGATCGGCCCACTTTGCATCCGTCGATTCAGAAATAGGCCCCGGGCGGAGTGCCGTTTAGTTATTTTGTGGATATAAGATGCGACATGGATTGGAAAAGTAAATAACAGGGCGAAATATGGAAAACTGTTTTCCATGCTTCAGATGCAGTAAACCACGTGGAATTGAATTTCGCGATCATGTTTCTTTAAGCGGGGCCTGTGGGTAATGACTTGTGTATCTTAGATGAAATATTTTAAATATATTTTAGCCAGAATAGGACTTTTATCCACACATATGAACCGTCTAAAGTGATACTTTATCTACTAGTGGAATAAAGCTACTTTATTGCACCAGTAGAATAATAAAAAATAATAAATAATAAATAAACCAAATTTAATTTATTTACTTATTAACATTTACATTTAAAGTAATAGAGATTTCGTTTTTGTTTTATCACATTTAACTTCCTTTCCGTTAATAACAATCCTAACATTGTTGTTATCATTTTCGGAACGCATAACATCTGCCGAAGTTTGTGAAGAATTTACAGAAGTTACGGATGTCTCTTCTTGTAAGGAATAGCTATATTTTCCTTGGACTTTCCTTGCAATATCAAGTTTGTTAGATATAGACTCCTCAACATAACTTTCTGCCACATAGGAGTTCTTCCATCCACCATGCTGTTTGATGGTTGTAAGATCAGCACCTTTATTGGCCAACAAAGTTGTTGAAGTACGCCTCATACAATGGCCAGTATATATTTCTGGATTTGCCATATTCAGGAATGAAGGTACCTTCGCCAATGTGTTGATTTCAACAGTCTGAGAAGTACATTTTTGATTGATGTATCTTAAAAGAATCTGTCTTTATTAGGCCAATTGGGCGCAGAGAAATATATTTTCTGCATATTTCAACAGCATTCACGCGCAAAATCCTTCTTCTATAATTGTAAATTAAACAAGTAGGTAACTGCCAACCAGGACGTCAGTAATTTTCAAATTTGTCAATTCGCAGCATCGACAGGCCCAGAAACCCCCATTATTAGAGCAACCTAAAATAATTCAAAGTTCACTATATACCTAACAACATGTAAAAGGTAAAGGGATATTAAATACCATAATCATTAAATATTCTTTATCGGAAGCGCCACTCCAAAATTCTTCAATATGTGCTTTTTCCAATACTAAAGTTTTTTTTTGCTTTGTTTCCTCTAGATTCACTCTTCAAATAAGAAGTAAGCTTGTTATATTTTCCAATATTTATATTTTTGAAGACTCTTATAGTAGCCTTCAACATCGAATACTTCGACCACATACATGAAATTGTATATTTTTTCTTGAAATTTAAAAAATACGACAGCATGACTTCTTCATTTATTGTCATTACTCTCCGTTTTCCCTCCATTCGTTAAATTCGACGAACATTTTTTCGTAATGTTGCCTGGATTTCGCTGGCAATAAATGGGAAATTGCTTCTTGAGCTTCTTCAAAAACAGCCACAGGAACACAATTAATTTCTTGCATTTTTACCAAATTCAGATAGAACTGTATCTATCTGTTTTAAATAATAACGAAACCTACCAAGTTACCAAGTTTCATTGAGTACCAGTAAGAAATATCAAGTCGGGCGAGTATTTTTTTATGAAACTCCAATAATTCTCTCCACAAATACGATTGTGACTTGAAACACTGTATTGCATTCGTTTTAATTGCCTTTTAACCACTTAAGAATATTAAAAGCTCGAACTACGTTCTCTACTACATTCTTGCATGGATAAAATGCTACTTATACAATAAATAGCTATTATCTACTATAGTGCAGTACAAGTTACACACACACACACACTATTTTAGGTGTGGTAAGTTGTACAGTACAGCCTTGCGGGAATTGCAAAAACAAACAATAAAATAAAACAAAAAAAAGGATATAAATAAACAACATAAATAAACAAGTTAATAAAACACGATTTTTATATCATTAATAATTGAACAATAAGTCGATTTTACATTAATTCTGTTATTAACGCATTCATAATCTTGGAACACCTCTTGCTATAAGGTGCCATCATTCATACGTTACTCCCGATATGGTAAAATGATATTCTTGCTTTCGATCACAGTAGCTCATACTATTTTTACGACAGCTATTGGAGGACGCCGCACCGTAACTCTTATAGTCTAGTCAAATTAAAATTTGAAGGAAAAAAAATTATTAGTAGAAATTTTATTGCATTTTATGACGGGGAAAGGTATGTAGAATAATAATATCAAAAAACTAAGTTGAAATACATGACGCAAAATGGCAATATTACGTGTTTTTCACTTTTTTAACTACCCGTGATAATCTAGATGACCTATCAGAAAATTAGTTATTTCATGTTGTAGGCAATTAAATTACCCACAATTTAAGGTACCTAAAGTCATATTTCACCAACTTACAAAGTAGAACGTGCGTTAAATAAATTGTCCCAAGGTCAGGCAAAGCCGCTCGGAAATTCGCTCTTTTTTCATGAAATATAGCTTATTCTTAGGGTAATTTGGAACAAAAAAAATCCCCTACGACTCTTTTCCCCAAGATAGCTTTTTTATAACGATAATTATTGTTAATTAACTATTGGAAGTATTTGAGAATTTTTTTAACCGTAGACTACTTCACCATAAAGAAGGGTCTCACAATCGAGGCGGACATGCCTGGGTTCAATCACAGATTTTTTCCTGGGTTTAATTATAGATTTTCCTATTAACCATCGATTCACCTCGTCTATTATATTTGCCAGATACGCATTCCATTTAAGCCTCACATCTAACATCAACCCCAAATAGTTTCATGATAGTTTGATGGGTTTTTCACCTATTATGAAGTTTCCCCATCCCAGCCAGGTTGTGTCTTCTCCGCCGGATTGACCTACACACTTAATTTACTAAATTCAAAGTTCTTTGCATGAGCTCTGACACAACGTGGTTCCCGACTACTAAACCAACTAAGTTGTCTATATCCCCTGGGAATAAAATCTTTCTAATATAAAAGTCACAAACCTCTGTTATTAAATTGTAATATAGCGGCAGATTTCTGCATTTATAAATTTCGGGTACACTTTTATTCTCAATTTTCCTGTTACCTTTGTATTAAAACAAACCGAACTTAATTAAAGTCTTTCAGTGGAGGTTTTCTGCAACTTATTCATTACTAGGCACTGCCAAGAAACCGAATACATTGTTACACCACCCCAAAATGCGGCGATAAAGTCATTTCCTTCGGAGCTCGCCTATGTCTCGTATGTTGATGTTCGCTTTTGTTTTTCTTTGCGAAATTGTAAGTACAAACACGTCTTCAACAAAGAAGCTGACAACTGTTTTGTTTTAGCTATACACGTTTTAATACCGATGGTTAAACATGTTACAAATGGAGTTTGTCTTAAATTTAGTTGTATCGCTCCAAAAGATATGCTACATGTAATTAAGTTATCCCTGAAATAACCTCCCAGACATCTAGACATCTAAAACTGTCTAAAATCTTTTGGATATGGTTACATGTGATTGTCAGGCAAAGGCAGTTGGCAAAGGTTTCAGGAAACATGCAGAAATTTTTAATTATTCTAAACATTCACAATTTGCAGTCGTGTGATTATCAATAATTGCTGTGGTTCGAAATTATGTGTCAATTCGGTGGTGACTTTTAGAAACAGCTACGAAATATATTAATTTCATTGAGAGGCCCAAATTTAATGTTTGGCAAAATTTTTCGTATACAGTATAGTTATCTTATACACACTGCATAGAACTCATTAGCTAAAGCTTAGTAGAAGTATCAAATATCCTATGAGAATTTAAATAAGTTCCTTGGAGTAACTTTAAGGGCACATTCATTAATTCAGTCAATTTAAATTTAACTTTGACGACGGAAAGTGCTAATGGCGCATGTTTTAGTAATTAAAAACGGTCGAAAATTACGTGTGACAGCAGCTGGTAGCTACTACGAAAAATTGATAATTTCCACTCTCGAATTTCGCTCATCAGCGTTAAAAGTGAATCTGGAGTAAGACATAACGATGATAATTATAATTCCCGATTATATGCATTAATGACGCCTTGTATAGCTAAATAATTCAAAGCTTGTCAGCAACACGAAGAATATTTTCAGAGGAATACCCGCTAATTTTATTCGAAATGTAATTTACCTTATGTTAATTAAACAAACAATATGGAGAAAAATAATGTACAGTATTGGAATGAAACTTATTCGTCAGTTATTTTTCTTTAATTCCGAACACATTGATTAATTTTGGAATTTTTTAACTACTAAATATTTAATATGTTTTTAAAGTACACAAACGGACCAGAAGTTCTTAAATCACATACAGGGTGTAAATCTCTCTAAATTCTCATCGTTTTCGCCATCCAATAACATTTTTGTATATACACTTTTGATTATTTAAATTAAATATTATGATCCGTAATTTGTTTTTAAAGTTTTTTTTATTTCTTGTGAAGTTAAAGCTGTGTAATAACCCTTATGGATTTCGAGTAAAACATACTCAACTCAAATATACTTTCAACATACTAGACTATGTTATTATTACAGAAAACTCCATTACCGTAAAAATAGCATTTCACACCACGTCCCTTACCAAATAAAAGTTGGACAGTGGTATGAGGTTTTACTTGAGCTTCCTATTGACAGATGGCACAATTAAGGCATATATTGCCACATTGTTTTATTTTATGTAAATATTTGAAAAAGTGGCAAAAACCCCATTAATTCTTAGAACGCATATAAAATAATAAATATCTTTAATGACAATAAATATTTTCAACAAAAACAACAACAACATAAGTGTAATGTTCATATCTCTGAAAATCGCACTTGAAAGCATTTCCAATAAAAAGCCTGTATTATCCTTAAG